TTAGTCATTGTGCCTTTCTTTTTCTTGTTTCCTTCTCCTCTGCTCCTCCTTCCACCCGTCCCCATTAGAGTAGTGTGGAGATAAGGCTGGACTTGTCTATCAGATTGAACTCCAAGAATGATCATACAAAATGTTTAGGGAAATGTTCCCCGTGGTGTATCCTCATAGTAACAACGACAAAAAATGCCGGTTGTCTGTGTTCTCTTTTCACTATTCCTAACATATGTACATGATAGCTTTGATTCTGCAAGTAAAAGTAAATCATGTGTTGTGACTGGTGCTTTCATATATTCGTGACAATTTTTGAGTAATACTGCATGAAACTGTCCCTATGTTACATCCATTCAGAAGTTTTGTTGTTTTACTCTAAAGCAGGGAAAGGAAATGAGAAGGAAAAACCCTGGGGAGGAAATAAAAATCTCAGTATTTTCAAAATTGAGATTACTTAAGAGCCTTAGCCACGCCTAAAATACCTCCTAGTTAATAGCGGTATAAATGCCTCTTCAATACGTTTTCCAGAGTCCAAAGCATTTTGGTTTATCCAGGATCCAGGGCAGCACAGCTGTCACCAAGCAGGAGCGTTAAGGATTCGCCATGAGTTGGGAAGTGCTTTTGTCATGATTATGAGCAAGTTCCCTCTTTCCCTGAATCATGGACATTCTAGATTAGAAGAACATTTTTTGTGTTCTTAGCAAGAAAACCATGGGCCTCCTTTGTTCAGGTATCAGAAGAAATAAACCCACAGCCCCAGAGAAAGTGACCATTCTCAGAACTCCGGCTGCTCGCCCTCCAGGTAGAAGGACCCCAAGTTACCACCCTCTGGGCAGCAGGTGCGGTCCCCACAGTCAGCTTACCAGGAAGAGTTCTGGCTCTCTTGTCCACTGAGATGGTCTTGGTTTTTCGCTTATCCAACTTTTAAATGGAATCTTTGTTTTTCTTCTCCATCTTGTTTGTTAGAGTCTCTGGGTCTTTATTTACAACTTCCTTGCAACTAGAGCGCTCCTTCCCCAAGATACGGTAGTGAGAGTAATTTTTCATTGTAGCTGTAGTCTCCATCAGTAACAGCAAGCCCTGGATGCCTTGATCACCTTTTTCTTTGTCATTTTCAGTCAAAGAGGGCCTCTCTTACATCTTGTTTGCTTTCAGATCCCAAAATACCATCTCTATCTCCCCATTAATGTTATTCTCCTCTCTTTCTTCTCTATTCTCTTTCTCCTGTTGAAAAGAAAAGCAAGAAAAAGGAAGGGAAAAAGATTTGGTATGCCAAGGACAGATTTTGAAACAGACTAGGTAAACGTTTTCCTTAGCTCCTTCATGGGCATGCTGGTGAAAGATAAATACATCCAGTTAAAGCTTATGCTGGGGTTGGGGAGAAGAAGATACGGAAACATTTGTGAGATGTGTGAATGCACTTTTGTAACCAGATGCTTCTGTTCTTCTGTTCAAATTGTGGGGAGTTTGTTACAGTCAGGATGCCCATGAGGATTTAGGGGTAAAAAAAAAAAAACCTAGCAGAGTATTTATTGAACTACAGCATTGTACAATTAGCTTAGTGACACTGTGGAATCAGCTAAAACATATCACATTTTTTAAATGGGCCAGAAAATGAATTGAATATATGGTCACATGAAAACAACCATGAATGAATAAAGCACTCTTTGGCCCAGATGATTTCCACTATTTGCAGCATTTCTTTTTCTCAGAAGGACTCTTTATGTTTCCATGTAAATCTAGATCTTTGGAGTAATTAAGAGGGAATTACAATTTCTAGGGAGCATTCTAAGGAAATCATTTTGGCTTTTTCATAATTTTATGTCTTACAGTATGGAATTATAATACCAAAATCTTTATATGAGTTTTGGCTTATTGGTATTTGTACTTATTCAGGGGAAAAAGTCTTTTGATTACTTATGCCTCTAAAGAGCTTAATTTATTTAGAAATTCAACAATCATTTTCACCAGCATAGTTTTCTCTTTAGGGGTAACCAATAGGAAAAGTCAGCTTAATTATTTAAGGCCCTAGTTTCTACACATAATATATTCGATAGTAATGAAAATCTGCCATTGAATTAACTAATAAGTAGTAACAATAAACTTCATATTTAGAATGCAAAGTCTATAAAGAACAAAACCATCTTACATCATCCTCAATATTAACTCCAGTTTAAAAACTGTTATTTTTAAAAAATTTGAAACCAAATACTGTTTAAATCAGAAGATGCAAATAAATACTTTGATCTGTGCCTGATTTTGCTAATAATATTTGAAGGAGATTGCCTACCAAGGACAAATTCAACAATAAATTTAAAAATCAAACAACAATTTCTCCATACACTCATAGTCACATACAGAATTTTGAGAAAATAAAGCATGCTGTCTTTAGGAATTTTTATACTTTATCTTTCTTCCTAAATATTTGCTTCTAGCTGCTCCTGGCAATGGTGAATTGTTACATATGCGTTAATGTTTTGCAGCCCAAAAGTTGTTCACATCTTTCCTATATAAGATCTATGGAGTGTGTGTTTCAAAGAGAGAAATACAGAAATGTTAAAGCAGGAAAACCTGAATGTGATGTGCACATTTTCATCCCACATGGACAATGTATGTGTTTTAATAAATGGAATTTTCAGATCCATTTCATACGCAGTCAATTTCATTGTGAAGGCCTGTGGACCAGCTCACCCATGGATTCCATGGCTAATTTGAAAAGGATCCGATGGTACGATTGGATAGGGAAATAGGAATCCATTGATTTTCTTTGGGATTGTGTTAATAGAGTGGTCTTGAAGAAGAAGAAACTTGACACTCTAAAAGCATTTCTTACAGAGTCTGTACATCTTGGGTAAAGCCCTTGGGGACAGAGAAAGGTGGGGGCCGTGAGGAGAGTCCTGGGCTCTGTCAGGGTGGACTATGCAGACAGAGGAGCTATATTTACACTTTTGCTTGCTGCAGATATGCCACAGTGGGCTTTTTCCCTTTGAAAAATAAAAACTAAACAACAGAAGTGCTGTTCTCTGCAGCTGTCCAGGATTTAAAAGGAGTACAGGAGAAGCTAAGTCTTTAGAGCTCCAGAGGCAGCAGGTCCTTGGAGATCTTCTTAGTCAAGAAAGACTCCTGAATGTCCCTCAGATTATGCCAGTGAGTAATAGACCCTGTTAGTAAAGAAGGAGACACTGGATCTCCTGGGACTTGTGCCAGCAACAGCAGCATCTGTAAACCACGGATGAAGGGGACCACTTGGAGTTTGCACACGAGCGCACCACTGCCAACAATGTTTCTCAAACTGTGGTCCATGGACTACTTGCTTCAGAATTATTAATACCTGGAATGCCTCTTTAAAAGGCAGATCCTGAGCTCCCCATGAACTCAGAATCTCTGACAGTGACTCAAGAATATGCATTCTGTTGCATGCTATAGACTGAGGACCCTACAGTATTTATGACAGCTAGCTTTTCATACTGCCAAAGGAAAGGCACAAACAACTCATTAATATTCTCGCTATTCTTCCCACAGCCCCCAGAAGTGGCGGCATAGGCATGAACATGTAACTGAAGGGTGAGAATCTAGCCAGCAAAACTAGACATGCCACACTGAGGAAGATGCTGCTGGGCTTTGACTCTGCTCCTGTTCTGTTGTGTCCCTGTGGGAGGACTGCCTCCAGTTCTCATTCTTTAATAAGCTGGTCACATTGTAGACAGCACTTACAATGACAGAGGGAATTGGAGCTGGGTCAGCTCCAATCCACAAATTGCAAATAATTTGCCAAGGGAAATCCCTTTCCCTTCGGTTCTGCCCCAAATCTACATTTTCTTCTATTTAGAACCAGGAGACTCAGGCAGAATTTATTTTAATGAAGAAGGCCGTGGGCTCCTGGGCTTTTCCTTGCGAGAACTACTGCTGTTTGTCCCTGGAAGACATAAGAAAAGCCAGGAGGGGGGTGTTGCATCTCCACCATGAAGCAACAGAAAGACGGTGCCAGGGGAGCTCAGTCCACACTGTGCTCATGCATTAGCATGCTATAGAGAACCAGAACTACACCCCAGCGCTCCCATGCGACCTCAGGCAAGTCCTTTAACCTCTCCTGCTATACAGTGGGGACAAGAATACCTGATTCATTTCTCTCACAAAATGGTCAAAACAAATGAAGGAGGCTGGGCACCATGCTCACACCTGTAATCCCAGCACTTTGGGAGGCTGAGGCAGGTGGATAACTTGAGGTCAGAAATTGAAGACCACCCTGGCCAACATGGTGAAACCCCATCTCCACTAAAAATACAAAAATTAGCCAAGTGTGGTCGTGGGCACCTGTAATCCCAGCTACTTGGGAGGCTGAGGCACGAGATTTGCTTGAATCTGGGAGGCAGAGGTTGCAGTGAGCCAAGATCATGCCACTGCAGTCCAGCCCCGGTGACAGAGCAAGATTCCATCTCAAAAATAAAAACTAAAAAATGAAAGAGGTAAAGGGGCATTAAAAAGGCAGAGGTGGTAAAGAACCATTAAACTCTACTTGACAGCAACCTTCGAAGAGAGGAAACTGCCAGACAGCTCCTGCTCACCTCTTAACTCCCCTCCTTGCTCCCTAGCCCCCGAACGCCCTGGTTGAGACCCTCAGTGCCTCATGTCTGAATTCCCGCCACACCAACCAGTATGGCCATTCTGACGCTCATCCTCTCCCACTTTCAGCCACCCCAGTTGACCCTGAGTATTCATTAATCAGGACTTCTTTGGTTGCAAGTGACAGAAACCTATGCTCCAAAATAGGTCCCACTTCAAGCTCACTGCAACCTCCGCCTCCTGGGTTCAAGTGATTCTCCTGCCTCAGCCTCCTGAATAGCTGGAATTACAGGTACCCACCACCATGCCTCGCTAATTTGAGCACTTTTAGTAGAGATGAGGTTTTGCTGTGTTGGCCAGGCTGGTCTCGAACTCCTGATCTCAGGTGATCTGCCCACCTCAGCCTCCCAAAGTGCTGGGATTATAGGCATAAGCTACTGCACCCAGCCAAAAATCTTGTCTCTAGGGTAATGTAACCTTTAGGAAGTAGAAAGCACTGGGTGGGTGGACTTCTCTTTAATCTTTCTCTCATTTTAGGGCAGCTAAGAATGAAGCTCTCCCCTGCAAAGGGGTCAGCAGTTGGCTCTGCACACAAAACAATGGGCCAAAGCTGAGTGGAGGTTGTCACCTCTCCTCCTCCAACCTGTGCTGGCTCCATGTCTTCACAACATCATGGGGACATTATCTTCAGCCAGCAGTCCTTTGGCCTTGGTGATACCACCATGCGCCAACCTGGAAATCAGATTTCATGGGCTTCAGGTCCAGGGGCTGGAGGAAGTACGTTGCTGGCTGCACCACCTTAATTTAGCCCTGGGGAAAGGGACATTTCCACTGTCTCTGGGAACACTATCTCTAATTCTCCTTCCCTGTGTCTGCATTTGGCTATTCACATTCAGGTATAAATTAACTAGAACTTTCAATAAAATTAAAAATTCAGTTCATTAGCTGAACTAGCCATGTTTTAAGTGCCCAGTAGCCACATGCAGCTGGTGACTATTGTTTTGGACAACGCAGATCCAGAGCAGTGCCACGACCGTGGAAGTTTCTGTTGGATGGTGCCGCTCTAGCATCATAATTAGCAACCATTTTCCATCACAAACAACTGACACAATATACTTTCTTTTTGAGCCCAAATTTTGAGAAAATATCAAAAAGTGTAAGAAAGTAAAAGTAGTATAATGACCCCTAACAATGACAACAATTGGCCATTGGTCATGGGAAATCATGCAGGCTGTAGCATAGAAGAGGTAGGCTGCAGAGTATATGTCATTCTTGGAGTCCTCTAAGTCGTATATTCACCCATTTCTCTGACTCACGAACATATCACGATAATAATCATAATGATCATAACAGCAGCTGCAACAATAAAGTGAACATTTACTAAGTACTTACCTTTGAGCAAAGCACAATGCTAGACATTTTTTAGATGGCCCTTCATCTAATTTTCACAATAACTGTAGGACATGGATATAATTTATCTCCTGTAGCAGATAGCTTTGTGCCTCATGACACATCCACGATCCACTGCTGATTTCAGCCACAGCTGCTGTGGAGATGTCTCTGCAAGCTCATTTTTCCCAGTGAAAATGGATGCCCTGGGGCAATTCTCAACCAATGAGGGATGAGTCTGGAGAAATGTCTCAGGCCTCCGCCCTTTCAAAGAGACATCTTTGGATGCATTTTATGTGGTTTCTCTGTGCGTCCCTAAAAGGATGCTCCATCCTCAATCAGTCACAACAGTAACCAGCTCAATAATATGCCATATTGCTTTTTCCTACTTAAATCTGCCTCATTTTCTCTCTTCCTACATTTCTTCTTTCCGGGATCACCCTCAACATGATCTTTAATAAATAAGCTACCTGCATCCAGGTCCTTGGCGCAGGCTCTGCTTCGGGAGGAACTCAAACTAGCTTACCCCTACTTCATAGATGAGGAACGTGGGGTTTAGAACAGTTGACGTTTCTCTAAATTCTCATTGCCATGAAGTGGCAGATCAAGGATACAAACCTAGGTTTCTCCTGATTCCAAAGATTTAACGCTTACTGTGATCTTCTAGTGTAAGTCAGAATGTAAGTACATAAGAGGGAAGTGATAATAAAAACTCTCAATCTGTTCTTATTTATAGAATAAATGGATTATTTATAAGCTTCAAACCTCTGAGTCACTTCTCTAAAATGAAGAAATCAATGAGCTAGTGTCAATATTTACTTTTTCTTCACAGTGGTCATTTGATACCTAGAAAGTATCAGCAGTAGCTTCCAGGTTCATCTTGCACTGAAAATATTTTCTGGTATCAAGGGCGCTGTGCAAGGCAGAACAGGAAGAGTGATTCTAACAGGGAAGGCGCAGAGTGTTGGTGTTTTTCTTCAGGACTCTCAGGAGGAAAAACTCTCCTCCTTTCCTGACTACTCTTCTAATAATTGCTTCTCCGTCATCTCAGACCCCAGTGACCCTCTAAGTGTCAGAAGCAGGGTCATCTGAGTAAGAGAGGAAGCTTCCAGAGGCTTCACTCTCCAAGCCAGGATTTAAGAAAAAGATCAAGAAAGAATTTCAGGACAAAGGCCCTTGCAAATGCAGTTTCGAAGACTCACTCCGAGCTTCTTTGGGAAAAAAGAATGGGGCTTGTTTCCCCACCGTCACTCCATTTCCTGTCCCCACTCGAGCTTGTAACAGAGAATCCCAGCACAGATCAGCAGATGCTGTGACACATGCACACGCCTGCATATGGCACGCACCAGGAAAGGCTGTTCCAGAATGCTAGGGAAAGCCAACTGTCACTCCAAGAAGGGACGAGCATGATGTACCGGCACACTCCCCATACAAAATCACTACTGCCACCTCTGTCACCTTGGTTTACTTTATAACATCAGTTCTCAAAGAGCATTCCAATGTCTCTTGAGGGTCCTTGAGACCCTTATAGGGGATCTACAAGGTCAGAACTATTTTCATAATATTATGATGATGTTATTTGCCTTTTCTGTTCACCTTCTTTCATGAGCATAACTGGAGATTTTAGAGGCTACGTATTGACGTCACAACAGATTTAATGCAAATGCACTGGCTTCTTTCACAAAGGAGGAGACAAAGCAGTTGAGCATCTACTAGACACGATTCAGTTGCATGTCTAACACAAGAAATCTTTTGCATTGCTATCGGTCATCTATAATTTACAGTTACAAAATAGTTCAAAGGCAAGGAAAGCACTGAGCTCCCACAGAGATAACTCCGAGCGAAGTGCTGAGGTTCATGCCTGTAGTCCCAGCTACTCAGGAGGCTGAGGCAGGAAGATCAGGCTGAGGTGGGAGGATCATTTGAGCTCATTTCAGCTGAGGAAATATAGTAAGACCCTGTTTCTAAAAACAAAAAAGAGAAAGAAAAGAATTAGATAACTTGGAAGACTAAAACTCTAAACAGTGCATTATTTTCTATTGAAGTATAGGTTTTTCCCTACAGCTGAGACCCCCTCAGGTGCCAGGCACTGAGCTAAGTAATTCAGAATAAGAAGAACTTAGTTTGTATCCTGCTCTCCAAGGCCTTACAATCCATTCCTATTATGTCCCATCACTATCACTGAAGAGCGCCTCTGTTCTCACAAAAAGAAATGGCATTTCTTAGGGTTTATCTCTATCTGTTAGGTAATAAAAACTAACATCAACTTAGTGCCTACTGTGTTTCAGGCTCTCAACACCCTCCCTAAAGCCCTATCAGATAATTATATCCCCTCATATTACAGAAGAGATATCAGAAGCTAGAGAGTTAAGTCACATGCCAAAAAGCTCAACCAGTAAGGTTCTTTCGGGGCCCAAACCTCAGTTGATCCAGCTCCACCTTCCCTCTCTCCCTTAATCTGGCGCCAATCCGGCAAAGGGACTCCTTGGCAAGAAATGCGTGATGTCGTTAGTATTCACACCAGAAAGAGCAATTGTATTGACCCTTGAGAATCATGTGTTTTTATTAACCCCCTTAACTCAGTCAGAATTTTTAACAGCACTTTGCTTAGCAATGGACATAGTACGTCCTGAAAGAGATGTTTTGGTTCCTTTGTCTTTCTTGAGGTGGATAGCTATTTCTGGATGGTCTAGGAAGAAGAATTCATAAAGATATTCTCTCAGAGAGACACGCACATGACAGATGGAGTTTAGAAGTTGGGCTGAGGGTTGGCTCAGAGCAGGAATTGCCAAACCACAGCCTATGGGCCAAATCTGGATGGTTTTTAGATGGCCTATGAGTTAATAATGGTTTTTCTGTTTTAATGATGAAAAATTGTTTAAAAAATATTTTTGTGACATGAAAATTACATGAGATTCAAATTTCAGTGACTATAAATTTTCATTAGACTACAGCCACACCCACTAGTTTCATGTTTTCTGTGCCTGTTTTTAACCTACAAGGTTCATGTCCCAAGACAGCTTCCTAAAACAGATTTGGAACCAGGATGATGTTACAATTGGTCAGAGCAAAAATTTAAAAAGACACATTTAAAGATCAGGAATAATGAAATGAATTTGCAAATGGATGAAAAACTGGCTTCCTTACCAAAGGGGATATAAGTCAGTTGAGCTTCCACTAGACAGAATTCAGTTGCATGTCTAAAACAAGCTTCTGTTGCATTGCTGTCAGTTATCTACAATCTACAGTTACAAAATAGCTCAAAGGCAAGGAAAGGCACTGAGCTCCACAGAAGAAGAATTAGATAACTTTGAGCCAAGTGCGATGGCACATGCGTGTAGTCCCAGCTACCAGGGCAAATAGTTCTTCTATTTGCAAGATTGTCATAGAAACTGTATGTCCTACAAAAGGGAAAATATCTGTTATCTGGCCCTCTGCAGAAAAAGTTTGCCAATTCCGGCTTAGAGTGACTTTTGTTTCAGAATAATTTCTCAGGAACCCCAGAGTGAGTAGTTCAGAAGGACCTCAAGATGGCATGTGCTATATGCCACAGTGCTCAGAATTACTGGAGGAAATTTTGTTATTTTAGGAGATTTGGTAAGAACGCCAAACCCCAGTAGAGGCTTAAAATCCTAGCCTGAATACCACTTTGGGAAGGTCCTCGCTGGGTTTCCCGAACTTGGCACCTCTATCACTCTATGGCTGTTCTGGATCATGTCCTGTGGAAGTTCATTTGCCTTTACCATTAATTACGATAATTACAACTACGCGGTGCCTCCTGTGTGGGAATTTGCCATCCCTGACAGAAGACTCTTGCAAATCGTTCTTCTTTCTCAAGAGCACCCTCTGCTGGTCAGTTCTCAGATGGCGCCACATCATCGCGTCTTCGTCTGCAGATAGTCTGCAGTCAGAAGCCGAAGGTTCTTTTGATCCAGAGAACTAAGTATTTTAGCTATTGTCTCCATGGCTGTTCGAATTTTCAAGCACATGGGCATTAACATCTCAAGATGTGGAACTTCTTTACTGTAGAAGACTGTGAAAGAACAAAACTCCCTTTGAATGCAAAGCAACAATCCCCTAGATGAGCTGGAAAGGCATAGGTAAGCACTCCCTCGTTGCATGCTGGCTCCCCAAATTACTTGATAATAAGGCAAAGCTGAGTGCATGGTTTCCACCATAAGGAAGTCTCAATAGAAGAAGAGCAGGGTCTTATTTATGAAAATTCTGACGCTTAAGGCAGATCTTTTAATGTGGGAGAGGGAGGTCTGATTAGAATAAGGATTGTGGGCCGTGGAGACCGCGTGCGCCCCGCGAGCACAGAGCCTCGCCCTTGCCGCTCCGCCCCCGGTCCACACCTGCCGCCAGCTCACCATGGATGACGATATCGCTGCACTCGTTGTCAACAAGGGCTCCGGCATGTGCAAGGATGGCTTCGCGGGCGACGACGCTCCCCGGGCCATCTTCCCCTCTATCGTGGGGCGTTCCAGGCACCAGGGCATGATGGTGGGCATGAGTCAGAAGGATTCCTATGTGGGTGATGAGGCCCAGAGCAAGAGAGGCATCCTGACCCTGAAGAACCCCATGGAGCTCAGCATTGTCACCAACTGGGACGACATGGAGAAGATTTGGCACCACACTTTCTACAATGAGCTGCGTGTGGCTCCTGAGGAGCACCCCGTGCTGCTTACTGAGGCCCCCCTGAACCCCAAGGCCAACGGCGAGAAGATGACCCAGATCACGTTTGAGACCTTCAATACCCCAGCCATGTACGTGGCCATCCAGGCCGTGCTGTCCTTGTACGCCTCTGGCTGGACCACTGGCATTGTGATGGACTCTGGTGACGAGGTCACCCACACTGTGCCCATCTACAAGGGGTATGCCATCCCCCATACCATCCTGTGTGTGTCTGGACCTGGCTGGCCGGGATCTGACTGACTACCTCGTGAAGATCCTCACCCAGCGCAGCTACGGCTTCACCACCACGGCTGAGCTGGAAATCACGCGTGACATCAAGGAGAAGCTGTACTACATTGCCCTGGACTTCCAGCAGGAGATGGTCACGGCGGCCTCCAGCTCCTCCCTGGAGAAGAGCCAAGAGCTGCCCGACGGCCAGGTCATCAGCATCGGCAACGAGCGGTTCCGCTGCCCTGAGGGCTCTTCCAGCCTTCTTTCCTGGGCATGGAATCTTGTGGCATCCACGAAACTACCTTCAACTCCATCATGAAATGTGAGGTGGACATCAGCAAAGACCTGTACGCCCACACAGTGCTGTCTGGCGGTACCACCATGTACCCTGGCATCGCCGACAGGATGCAGAAGGAGATCACCGCCCTGGCGCCCAGCACGCTGAAGATCAAGATCGTTGCTCCTCCCGACTGCAAGTACTCCGTGTGGGTCCGCGGCTCCATCCTGGCCTAGCTGTCCAGCTTCCAGCAGATGTGGATCAGCAAGCAGGAGTAAGACGAGTCTGGCCCCTCCATCATCCGCTGCAAATGCTTCTAGGCAGACTGTGACTTAGTTGCCTTACACCCTTTGTTGACAAAACCTAACTTGCGCAGAAAACAAGGTAAGATTGGCATGGCTTTTTTTTTTTTTTTGGCTTGACTCGGGATTTAAAAACTGGAACAGTGAAGATGACAGCAGTCGGTTAGAGCAAACATCCCCCAAAGTTCTACAATGTGGCCAAGGACTTGACTGTACATTGTTCTTTTTTTTAAGTCATTCCAAATATGGTCAGATGCATTGTTACAGGAAGTCCCTTGCCATCCCAAAAGCCACCCCACTTCTCTCTAAGGAGAATGGCCCAGTCCTCTCCTGAGTCCACACGGAAGAGGTAACAGCATTGCTTTTGTTGTAAATTATGTAATGAAAAAATTTTTTAATTTCACCTTAATACTTTTTTATTTTGTTTCATTTTGAAAGATTTTAGCCTCTGTGGCTACCCCTTTTTTGTCCCTCAACTTGAGATGTATGAAGGCTTTTGGTCTCCCTGGAAGTGGGTGGAGGCAGGCAGGGCTTACCTGCACACTGACTTGAGACCAGTTGAATGAAGTGCACACCTTAAACATGAAAAAATAAAAGAATAGGATTGTGACATAATCATTTAGAATTGGTGGACGCAGCAAGGGAATGCGAATCTAGGAATGTAAACTGTTGATGGCTTGAGACTTTCCAGAAAGTTCTTCCATGAAGCATAAAGATTTACAACTTGGCTTTTCCAGGGCTAGAGTCTCTAGACTAGTAAAGTTGTGGTCCTGAAGGTGATGGGATAATAAATGGCTGAGTAGGGTTTTCAGCCTCATAGGATGGTGACTGTCGTCTAGGAGGCCCAGTGTGAAGGATGTGAGTGTAGCCATTGCCCCAGTGACTTAGGACAAAATGTTGGGCCTGCTCTGGGCTTCCAGCTTTGTTACAGGTGACTGGAAGTGTGTTTATACCTCTTTCAGTGTGCTTGTACATGGGAACTCTGCAGTTATAAGGTAGCCTACTAGGAAAAGGGTTGATCTTTCTAGGCGGCTACAATTCTGGTTTGACATGAGCATCTGTGTTAGACTGGAAGGCGCCAAGGTGAATGAGAGACAGACCCTTGGGATCCTGCCCCTACTGGGGAGGGGCTCTGTAGAGGCCCACATTAGAAAGCTACAGAAGGTGCACAGTGGACAGTGCCCAGGCTTGGTTGGATGTGGAGAAACGTCAGGGAAGCCTGCCCATGGTTGATGTCAAAACTGAGATTCAAACGGTGATGGGAACTCACTAGGCTGGGAAAGGATCAAGGGAAATGCAAGAGAACCAGGGGGTTTATTGTGGAGGGTGAAGTGTTAAGTTTTGGCCACGTTGGCCGTGAGGTACAGAGAATGGGGCTGCTCCAGAAATGCAAAATTGGAGCTTCTCTGAGAGGTGGGGATTGAACAAGTGGGTTTAGGCTTCACTGGCAGGGAGAAAGAGGAGGGCATGGAAAATCCCTGGAAAAGCTAAAATCACCAAAGGAAAGAGCATAAATCAAGAGTAGAGACAGACACACCCTGGGAAAACTGTGATACTTATGCTGCAGCATCAGTGGTTGAAGAAAGCTGGCCAGCTTCAACCTTCCTATGCCTCTCCCTCCAGGGCCAGAGGTTGTCAGAGGAGCCAGAAAACTATCCTGGGACATGAGCCTGTCCCAACATCTCAGGGCCACCTGCCCAGTGGAGAGGGCCACGGACAACACGAGGTATGTGCTTGGGGAAAAAAGGAAAAGAACTCCCCCACCTCACAGGGTAGGACCAAGGAGGACAGAGAAGGTAATTAGTTTTTGTGGAACAGAAGATTTGGCCTATTTCTTACTCAGTTTAGTCAACTCAATGCCTGAAAGGTTGGGAAACAGGAGTGGGAAAGAAATCGTTCCAAATGAAGGCTGCCTCTCGGGGGATCCTGCTGTGCAGGCTGCAGGAAAAGCAGGGGTGTGCCTGGGCTGTTGCCCAGGTCTCAGGGGTTGAGCAGAAACAAATGAATGGTCCTGAAGGGAGGCAGGGCAGAGCAGCGGCCCAGGACCGGGCCCAAGTTAGGAATTCACGTGTAGAAGAGGTTAGCACAAGGAAACCCACGACGTTCTCTGTGACAGCTGTTCTCAATCTTGAGCACATGGGAGTCAGCTGTAGGCCTTGTTAAAACACAGACTGCTGGCCCAACCCTCGGGTTTCAGATTCAGTAAGTCTGGGCTGGGGCTGGAGAATGTGCAGTTCTAACGAGTCCCCCGGTGATGCTTTTGCTGCCAATCCAGGGACCAGCATTGAAAACTGTTGGTCTATGAGATCCCCAAAAGGGGTTGCCGTGGTTTGAACATCCTCCAGAAGTTCATGTGTCGAAAACATGGTCTCCAGTGCTGCAGTGCAGAGAGATGGGTCCGTGTTTGCCATCTTTTAGGTAGGCAGATGAGGCCGAGCTGCCCAGCTTCACAGGCCACACTGTGGCAGGGGATCAGTGTCCCCTGGGCTCCTGAGGCCATGGAGTTCTTGTTACGTGGATGGTGTGGGAGCAGTGAGATTTTCCTGTATGACTAAGAGCAGCATAACCCTGACACAGAGAACCTGTAAACCTGTGTACCAACCACCAAAGAGTGGACAGAGATGAGAATGGCCCAGGGGATGCCAGTGTGGGCCGGCAAGGACATGGAAGTGCTTTGCTAACTCTCACCCATTCCTTGGCATGTCAGAAGTGCCCCCAAATTTAGGTGCAACCCTTGAAAAAAGAGATGATAATGGATTCATCACAAATTGACAGTGATTTAACTTCTAAATTATGTGAAAAGAAGTTCAAAGTGGAAATTAGGTTCTCATGTATGGTCTGTTTTGTTCAGTTTCTTCAGCAATGGCTGGAATGAACCACCTAGGCGAGACTTTACTTCCCAGGGTGCTATCAGACACTGCCCATCTCCAGGAGATCCATACTTTTTTAAAAACCGAATTCCAGCTCTTTTCCAACTGTGAGGAAAGGGCATGAGAATGGCAGCAGCTTTAGAAACATACTGCACTGAGCTCTAAAGTCTAAGGCTGTCAGAAAGTTGGGCTCATTGGGGAAATAGCTCAAACCCTCATTAACAATCTAAATTATTTATTCCTACCTAGTCATTAGTGGGACCAATGAGGTCAGGTCCCAGGTTCCACCAGTGCCACAAGGGAAACTCTACATGATTACAGCTGGAAAGGGAAGGATGAGCAAGATTTCTTTTCCCTGGCATTTGCTAACACCCACACCCAGCACTGAATATTAGATACCGAGCACTAAATTCCCAGGAGGCTGCTGCTCTTATTCGCCAAAGCTAAAGTAAGAATGACCCAGCAAACATGAAAAATAAAGAGAAACGAAGTGTTCAAGTAGAAATGGGTATAAAGAGCAAAACTTTTCCCTTTATTATTGAACCCCAATAGAGTAGCACATTTATGGTATTTTCCAGAGAGATTTTTAAAAGAAAAGATGTATAAAGGAACTATCGTGCTTTTTCTGATCCTAGGACAGGAATTGAGGCCAGAATCTCACTGGAAAATCAAAAAACCTCTTTGAGTTAAAAGAGTCACCGTGGTGGAGCTGGGAAGTGTATGTCTTCTCTGCTAGCAGCTGTATCCCTCCCTTTCTTCCTCATGTGCTCTTTCTCTAAGGCTTAGAATTTATTTTTCTATAATTGAAAAATGATCCTAGTGACTGTTCAGCTCTTCCAGCAATGCTGAGTAGTAAACAGGAGGTATGAAGGTGAATAGTTCATACAGATAAGTCTCAATCACTCACAATAGCTGCTGAAAAGAGAGTCATTTGCAACAGATAATCCCCCGTGTCCATTATGCTACATCAGAAAATGCAACAACTTCTGATGTTCACCGTTGCCACTCACCTCATCACTGCAATAGCTTCCTAAACTGGTCTCCTAGCTTCTCACTCTCCACCAGCTCCATTCATTCTCCACACAGTAGCCAGGATCTTACAACCCAAGCCACAGCTTGTCACTCCTGCTTAAAACCTTCAGTGGCCTGCTGGTAAACATGGAATAAAGTCCATACTCCATACCATGGCCTTCCTCCTCACTTCACACCAATATCTCCAGCTCCTGGCTGACAGCCCTCCTACTGCCCTGATCTTCCTTCGGTTCTACAGAAGCAAACCCTTCCCAACAAAGGGCCTTTTTGCTCATGCTTTGCCCTTTCCCTCATTGGGAAATCTAGTAACAGCTCATATTTTATAGCTGGCTTAGATGTCACCTCCTATATGGGGCGTTCTCTGACAACCCTGTCTAATGTAGGTCCCTTTATGTTTATCTCCATCACCTTTGCCTTGTTTCCTGTGTCCCTGTTGGGCTGTAAGCTCCATGAAGGAGAGGATCATGTCTGTCTTCATCATTATATCCCAAGTGTCCACCATGGTACATATTACACGCTGAATGAATGAATGAATGAATGTTCACCACCCTCACTCTTTACCCAGGTCTGACATCCTCCTTAACTGACTCATTGTGAGCTACCTAGGCCTTTAGATGTTGATATAGTTTGGATGTTGCTCCTGCCCAAGTCTCACATTGAATTGTAATCTTCAATGTTGGAGGTAGGGTCTGATGGAATGCCACTGACTCATGGGGGCAAAATTCTCATGGATGGTTTAGCACCATCCCCTTGGTACTGTCCTCATGATAGTGGAGTGAGTTCTCATGAGATCAGGTCATTTAAATGTGGGTGGCACTTCCCCCACGCCCACCTTGTTCCTGTTCTGGCCATGTGACATGCCTGCTCCCACTTCCCTTCTGCCATGATTTTAAGTTTCCTGAGGCCTCTCCAGAAGCCTAGCAAATATCAGCTATCATGCTTCCAGTACATGCAGAACTGTGAGCTAACTAACCCTTCTTTCTTTATAAATTACCAAGTCTTGGCTATTTTTTTATAGCAATGTGCAAGTGGCCTAATACCTATGTCATGAACGCACAATACTTGTTTCAGACTTTGAAGTAGAAGATGGAATATCTTGTATTCTCCATCAAAACAGACTTTTATTTAAAATGTTCACAGGTCTGAAAGCCATGGCAGGCTTAGGGCAAATCTGTAGGAGTTCACCATCCCCTGCCTCCTCTACAGCTTGCAGATTAAACTCAGTGCTGTGGTTTTAGAACCCTGGCAAGTCTGAACCTAAAGTAAAGCCTGCTGTTTGACACTCAGCTGTCAAGACAATGCTGTCTACAAGTTGGTCAAATGACTTTTGGGGAACAAGATTTCCCAGCCCTCTAAGGTCCCTGCAGTAGCAGCCCCTGTCTAATTCCTAGATCTTGGAGAAAGACCAGTTCTCAAGAATTTGAAACAAAGGAAAAGGTCAGGCTTTTGTGGACATCTTAGCAACTCTGCCTGGGGGGTCACTGAGGTGCTACGGAAAGGGATGAGAGAACAGGAATATGCATGGGAGACTTGTGAAGCAGATGATCTAAATTTGACTCTATGGTGGTCAATATCATATGGTATCTGCCTTATTCATTACCTGCTTTCAAGCATTCAGAGGTGGCTTTTCTGTAACTTTTGGGAGACGAATCCACATAATCCAGTCATCCAAATGTTGATCCCTGTTGCTCTGCCCCCAACCCTGCCTCCCTAAACCCTCTCCTCTCCATCTTTTGGGACACTGCATATTCCTTGTTCTCTTAATCCTTCCAATCACTTTTCCCATATTCTATGACTCTTCCTCCTACTCCTTCTTGAATATGGATACTGGGTTTTCCCAAGATGAACTCTTCAGTCCTCTTTCTTTCCCTATCTTCTCAGGTAGTTCACTATAATGGTTTCTAACTATAGCTTTATGCTGATGACTCCCCCATGGACATCTCATCCACATTCATTCCTGAACATTTCAGCAGTGATTAGGGGCTATACCTACCAGGACTTCAAATTTAACAGGTCCAGAAGTTAATTTTTCAGCTTCCACAGACATGTTCCCTTCTACCTGTTTCTGTGCAAGAATTCACTGCCATCACATCTCTGATAGGTGACCTTCTGGAAGTCCCCTTTAAGCCATGCACCTCCTTCTCATCTTATGTTGAGTCCCACCAAGTCCGTGGATTGTCTCTTTTATTTCTCTCTGGCATCTGTCCTCATGTTAGAGCTATTAAGTTGTAAGTTACAAAACCCCAACCGAATCTGGCTCAAATACAAAAAAATAATTTATTGGATCACATCTCAGAAAAGTTGCATCTAGCGCCCTACCAGACATTTTTGGGAATGGCCTGTCTCCGCCTCCTGGCTGTATTTTCCTCTGTGTTGTTTTCACTGTTTGGCAAGTGTTTCCTCTGAGGTATTAGATGTGGAATATGAATGCTTTATGTTCCTTGCATGACAACGTAAATTTCCATTCATTCCTATTTCATTTCCACCAATAAAATTGGGCTCTGCTGCCTTGCCATTTTGCTTTTAATGCTAACCCATGATATTCCAGAGCCTGACGTTAAAAGGAAGCACATTTTCATATTTAACATTAAGAGTCTCAGAAAGAGATGAAGGAGATGTTCTCTCATCAGGAGGCTTCCCCAGGGAGAGAGACCTTTCTGCATTATACAACTTGTCCCCAAAATTCTGATTTCATGGGATGTTCAATTGATAACATTCATTGGAATATTAAACCTGTTTTTTGGTACACTATAGAGATATTTGTGGCTATTCCTAATTATAACCAACTTGTTCTGTTCACTGCCTTTGGAAGACTAATTTGAACAAAGGTTTCTAGTAAAACTGCTAAGACTTTAAAAGATGTTACAAGTGGTAAAACTGTCCTTCAAAGAGCAGCTTGTACCTCTGATTGGTTGCCTTTCTTGATAACGTGTTGCCCTGGCAATACTGTTGAAATGGCCACCTCTACATTTCTGAAACCATACATGCCCTTGCAAATATTTTAGGTTTTGTGAGTCATGTGGTCTCTGTTACATTTATTCACCTCTGCCCTTGTAGCACCAAAGCAGCCAGTTAGCAAATGGGCATCGCTGTGTTCCAATACAACTTGATTTATGAACATCGAAATTTGAATTTTATATAGTTTTCCATGTCATAAATATTCTTCTTTTGATTTTCCAACCATTTAAAAATATGAAAACCATTCTTATCTTGCTTTTTCACTGAGTACTCTAACTAGAAATCTTTTTCCCCAGATATTTGTGTGAGGTAAGATATTTCCTTACTCCTTCTAGCCTTTCCTTACACGTCACTGTCTCAATGAGGCCTAACCTGACCATCTTGTCTAAAACTGCAACACCCATTATATCCCACTCCTATTTCTTACCCCCTTACCTTGTTATGATTTCCCTATAGTACTTAGAGCCTTCTGAATAGTAATTATTTGTGATTGTACTGTTTGTCTTCCCTTGCCCAATGATAAGTTCCCTGAGGTCAGGGATTGTTGTGTTTCAGTTTTCAGATGCCTCCAAAATACCTACAAGATTGCCTGGCATGTAACTGTCAATTTAAACACTTTATTGAACAATTCAACAGATGAACTAATGGCCTATCAAACCTCTGATCAACCATTAGGTTGGAGTTCAGGTCATTTGATAATAAAAGTTGGTTTCCAGAGCCTTCTACCAAAAAGACACATGCATCCTAATGTTCGTCACAGCACTATTCACAATAGCAAAGACGTGGAATCAACCTAGGTGCCCATCAAAAGCTGACTGGATAAAGAAAATATGGTACATACATCCCATGGAATACTATGCAGCCATAAAAATAACAAATATTATGTCCAAATTTGCAGCAATATGGATGCAGCTGAAGGCCATTATCCTAAAGCAAATTAACGCAGGAACAGAAAACCAAATACCATATGATCTCACTTATAAGTGGGAGCGAAACACGAGGTACTCAGGAAAACACACCTAAAAAGATGGTTTCCTTTTCTTGAAATACACAGAGAGCTTGGTCTTTATAATTGGAATTGTGTAAGATTTACTTTCTTTTGGACACTTCGTTCACAATAGGCCAAGGAACTCCTTCAAATTCAGAGAATAAAAAAGATAACTGGGTTTTAAAATAAAAAATAGATTAATATAATATGTTATACTTATTTTCCAAAATTTGGTTTATCCCATGCCCCAGTATGATGGGTTAGCATTCTGCATCATCTGAATCTCCCTCTAACCCCCCCACTCCTGGTGGTGGCCAGGGCTGATGACCAGGGACAGTCTTAAGTTGCTGATAATTGGGACCCTCAAGTAGAAAGACTAGGGCAGGAGCAAACAACTTCATATTTTGCATTGAAAGGTCAATTTCCAAAAAAAAAAAAAAATTGGTAAGTTTTTTCTTATTTTTTAAAAACAAATTCATTGTCTGCAATTGCATTTCTCCCTTTTAATTTATTATTTGTATGTAGGTATTATTTTTCCTTCCTTGATTGGTTCATTTTTTTCATTTTTTGGTTAGTACTTCATTAATTATACAACTAGCATGTACCACAATATGAGATTATAGCTGCATCTTTGATCAAATTTTGTTGAAAACGAGACACTCTTGAACTGGTTTTCTTGATTCACCCGGTAAGCATCTTAATTGGAAAATATAGACTGTCTTATTGTGCCCCCTTAAAACTAAAACCGTTTTCTGGCCTCTATACTTCTTCTTATTATTTTTGAGATGAGGTCTTGCATGTTGCCCAGGTTGGCATGATCATGGCTCACTCCAGCCTCAACCTTGCAGGCTCAAGCGATCCTCTCCCCCTTAGCCTCCTGAGTAGCTGGGTCCGCAGGCACACACCAGCATGCCCAGCTAATTTTGTTGTTGTTATTCTCGTTGTTGTTGTTGTAGAGACAAGGTCTCACTATGTCGCCTAGGCTGGTCTCAAACTCCTGGGCTTGAACTATCCTCCTATCTCAGCTTCCCAAACTGCTGGGACTACGGGCATGAGACACTGCACCTGGCCTGTACTTCTTTGTACCAATTCACTTATCCCTTTCTAACTCTAGATTACAAGTATTTATTTACACATCTATGTTTGTTATTATACTTAAATTTACTGAAAATAGAGACTGTAGCTTACTCATTTGTATGCTCCACAGATCCTAAGTGTTTAATTAAAATCTGTTGAAATGAAATGAAATGAAACATACATAGTTGGTTTACCCCCAAGAATTTCAATAGCTTCCCTTAGCTTGCCATGAGAGACTTTTCCTAATCAGAGCCTTATCAGCTGTCATTGCCTCTCACCCTCCAGCCTCTATAAACTCTAGTCCCCTCTGTGTCATGCTGTTGATCATTTCTTGCCTTTGTACCTCCTCTTCCCTCAAACTAGTTTACCCTTTTGACTGCATGGTGAATGCCTCCTCATCTTCAAGCCTTAGTTTATACTTATCTATTGTTTCCCTGATTAGCTTTTTAAACTCCATGAAAGTAGGGGCCTGGTCTGTCTTGTTCACTGCTCTCTCTCCACTGCCTGAAAACCAAGTAGAGACTGGATCAGGAAAGATCTTAAATACAATAAAGAGTTTTGATTGTTTCTAGGAAGCAAACAGGAAGTACTAAAACATAAGCAGAGAAAGTTATGGACAGGTTTTTGCTTTAGAAAATCTCTCTCATTGCTATGTGGGGGAATGGTTTGGAGAAGCCAGGACTGGCCCTAAGAAATCAGTTAGATAATTAAAGTAAGCAAAAGTGATGACGGTCTTATTTGTGGCTGTTATCAGTGGGGTCTGGAAAGAGGTGAGGGATTTGAGAGTTAGGAGAGACAGAACGAATTGATGACCTACAGGATGCTGTGACTTAGTGGGAGGGGGAATGAGGGACGATCTTAGTATCAGATTTCACTCCAGCTGAGGATATCTGGAACTATCGCACCGTATTAACAGTTGTATGTTTACCTGTGGATCACTCCCAACTAGTCTAAAAACGTCTTACTGCAGGGACCTTGCTTTGTAGTCTTTGTATTACCAGCGTTAGAAGAGCACCTGTTATGTGGGAGGAGTAATGAATGAATGCACTCAAAACGCTAAACAGTAATTCTGTAATCCAACGGAAGGTACAGCGAATACCAAAAGCCTACATACACTATTCTCTGTATGTTACAGCAAGAGAGAAAGGAAAGCGGCTTCCCGGTGGTTTTCTGCCTATTGTACAACCAGGAAGCTGACAATAAAGTTTGTTTGAGCGTCGACGTCCGCCGACGTGGCCCCGCCTCTTCAGCTGGAGCCGCGATTGGTAGGCATTTGCCGGCGGCCGCCGCTTCTCAGCCACGATTGGCGAAGGCCGCCGTCATTTCAGAGCGTCCCAGCGCCAGCCCGCCCTCTCGCCGCGTCGCCGGTGCCTGCGCCGCCCGCTCCGCCTCGCTTCTCCTCTCCCGGCCGAGGCCCGGGGGTCAGAGCGAGAAGCGGGGACCATGTTCCGACGCAAGCTGACGGCTCTGGACTACCACAACCCCTCTGGCTTCAACTGCAAAGGTGAGGCGGCGGCCTCGGGCCGGCAGCGTGTCCCCGAGCCGGGAGGTGGTCCCTGCCTCAGTGCCGCCCCTCCACCTCCCCGCCGGGACCTTCGGCGGCCTTGTCTCCGCCGGGGGCCTGTCTCGGCATTGTGACTTTCTGCACTTGCTTAACTCCTGTCTCGGCATCGTCACTTTCTGCACTTGCTTGACTCCTAACGCCACGTAACTCTTTTCTCAGCACATAAAAGGGAAAGCATTCGTCTTTCTCATTCACCATTCAACTCCATGGTTCCCCGGGTAATTAGGCGATACCTTGAGCACCTGCTAATTGTGAGCCAGCGCGGTGCTGGCTTCTGAGGAAGGTGCTGAATAACTTGAAGACTAGTTCACTGCCTGCCAGGAGTCAAGGGGTCGGGGGGTGCAAGGGGTGGAAGCAGTTAGAGCCCACTGAGCAGTTTGAGACCAAGACAGTACACAATGAAATCAAAAC